GCATCCACCTTTATGAATCGCGAGGCAAACTTGTGACCGGCCATGTGCACGTACCTTCAATTTTCTCCCCTTTAGTCACGAGTGAGGCCTTCTCCACAAGGGGGAGATGGAAGCCATGGATCAAGAGGATGACCTGATGCTGATCCAAACTTCCCTTGGTCTTTTGGCTGATGAGTAGGAGTTTTATGTACTTTGCCTACTTGGCTCTTTGTTTCTTGCACTTGTCCTGATGATGCGAAAAACTTGGGTGTGCTTTTTCCTGCTTCTACTGATTCTGATGCGATCCAGCTATAGTGATGGGCGGATTTCTTTGTTACATTTTGGTGGATATCCAGTGGCGGAGCTAGCGAATTGCCGAAGCTTGGGCACCCCAAAAGCTAAAATTTACTTTGGTCTATCAACACCACAAGTATCATATATTTGAATAAACATGTACAATATACACACTAATATTTCATATCAAAGAAGTAAATAACAATATGAGATACAATATCAAATAACTTGCTAAATACCAGCCACACAACCGAACCTATCGACATCTCGATGATAAAAGTCCAATCTCTGATGTTCATCCTTGTGCACACCTGAGAATCTACAAACTATAATATATTTTAATTGAAATTAGAATGAATCATCCAATAATACGCTAATTGGACCTAGTGCTCGTTGAGGTGTCAACAGTGACAACTGACGAGGACAAGCCACCATCCGCCTGAACCTGGCCCGTAGTGGAATTCTCACCGTGGGAGCTGCCGCTTTGACTTCCACGCTTCCTCTTCCGATCCCAATTGTGGCTTGCTAGCGTCGTAGCCTGATCAGAGGCCCGGCCGTACACCATCCCTTGTGGTCTTGCTGGTCGTCGGTTCTCCGCCGGTCCACCTCGCCGGCCGCTGCCTTCATCGTCGGAAGAGCGTTCGCCAGCAATAGCTTCCACCATGCAGACCTGTTTCAGAAAGAGATAAAAGCACGGGAGGTCCTAGAACTTGTCTCATATGTGATGATTTAGTCCTAGAACTTGCAAAAGTGACCTCTCTAGTCCTACAACCAGCACATAATGTTCAAATTTAGTCCAGAGCCAATCAAGGGGAGGCAAGTGGCGCCAGCTGACCCAAGCCGGTCGTCACATGTTTCATCGGAACAGAAGTTTCAGTGCAAGTTTAGTTTTCATTGAAACTTGCAATGTTTTGAAGCAGAAGTTCATCCTGAAAAAAAGCTAAACCGTCTATTCCTAAAACTTGCAATGTTCCTAGAAAAATCTAACCATCTACCGCTCCATCACTTTAATCTTCTGTTTGACTGAACTTTTGTGTCATCTACAGAGAACTTGTGTAGAGAAATCTTCTGTTTGACTGAATCTACAAGCAGGGGGCGGCGAGCTTTCAATTGGTATGGGACGGGGAAGCGGCGGCAAGGAGGAGAGGCGAACGGGGGCGGCGACGAGGAGAAGAGCCGGGGAGCTGAGCAGGGGTGCTCCGTCGTGGGGGAGGGTGTCGCAAAAATGCCACTGCAGCATGAATTTTTGGACGGAGGGGTATAATTTTATCCATTTTATATAATCACATTTTATCCATTGGTATTTGGTACTCGATATAATTGATATCTATTTTAGACGGCTTGGCTGCTTTTGAATATAGTTTCTTGACATTTATATAGACGCTCCTCGCCCACCTTGAGAGTCATCTCGAGTTCTCTGTCTCCGCCCCTTTCCCTCCTTCTCTCCGGCGGCTCTGCTGCCTGGCGTGAAGATGGGTTAGGTGGTTGGCTCCCTTTTGTAGATAGTAGTAGTGGTAGGCTTAGGTCGCTGTTTAAATTAGGTCTTGCCATGTGGTAGTCGGCGGTGGCATGCCATGGTTTGGCTGGCGCTATGCCGTCAGGGTGGTCTTCGGAGCTCGTGGCCGCAGCCATCGTCTTCTCCAGCAGCTCCATGGGGGAGTAAACGAGAAGAGGGCGAATATGGCAAGCCCAGTCTCAATAAGGTCGAGTTGGTGCCAACCAGAGCTGCCGATTTGGTGATTTCCCCGTTCTATTCCTACTGCCGTTGTGGTGACTGGGATATACCCCAGCTCGGCTCTCTCCATTGGTGCCTTGTCTCGCTGGATCCGAGCTTCCAGCGAGGCCGGTGTCTGTCCCTGCTCCGGAGGAGGTGCTCTGACCTCTCTCTTGCATGCATGAGCTTCCAATTCAAGAGAGGTGGAGATGAAGAAACAGACGGGGACGATGAGCAGCACCGGCAGTGGACTTGGAGACGCTAGGACGCCCATAGCGGCTTGCTGGTCTTCTCCAGTGATCTGTTGCATCTTATGGCCGAAAGGCGGCTTCTTTTATTCCTCCCAGCCATGTTGTCGTATGGGAGGCAGTACAACTGCTGTGTAGAGTCCATGGTGCCCTGCCATGGAGAGCTCGCCGGACCAAATGGTTCTGTCCCCGGCGCCCGCGATCTTCGATCTGCAGAGTGGTTGTTATGGACCTGATTACACTCTTCCATCATCTTCTGGGGTCCTCCTTGCTATTGTCGGGGACCTGGTTGTATTTTTCACTTTCTTTTTGGTCTGATTATAAGATGCTTCGTACCACCTCTTACTTTTAATTGAAGAAGCATCTGGGGTTGCCCCTCCTTATGTTAAAAAAAAGACCTTTATATTCTTGTTGGCTATTGAAGATTGTTCATTCTCAGCCACTACGGCTGTGTTTGCACATGTTCTTGATTGCACACACCAAGCTCACACTGAATCTATTGGAAATACAAATGGGCAAGAAAGGCATTTCTTTTCTAAAAGTGACATGATGCAGTTTAGAATGTACACTAGGTGCTTATGCTTTCGCTTATGCTTTCGGAAA